AGATAAATATATTAGATTTTTGTCACGCCAAGTAATGTATAATTGAATACATTTTTTCTGGGTCAATTATACGAGATCGATGCACCGCGAAATATTCTTGACTTTGGTTAGGTTAGCAAGTCATTAGCTCTTGTATCACCGTCTCTTTCTCGCTTTCCCAATGGTTTCGTTTGTGCCTTCGTGTTCCCTTTCGGCTTTAGGTGGGCCACTTCGGAGAATCTGGAGACTTCCTGGTGATTCTTCAATGTTCCGTTTTACCTGTACTTTTGTGCCCCTTTGCAGGTTTAGGTGGATCACCTGGAAGCAGCCATTTTTGGTAAAATCATCATGAGCAGTTAATCGAAATCGAGCTTGCTGCAATTGTCGATAGGTGGTAAAATATGTTAAACGATGTTTATTAATTTATTTCGCGATGCGAACTGCGTCCACGGTAGCTTCATGGGGAAGATTGTTCCGTTTAAATTGATCTCTCGAGCTAGTGGCTGTGATTTTTTTCGGAGAAGATGTAGGGTTTTGGAGTTTTTGTGAGGAGTTCATCGCTTTTTCAGCCGGTTCTCGGGCTGCCCAGAGTTGTAACAGATGGCAAGTGCATTAGCCATCTGCATCCTCGACCGGAGGTCACCCTACCCGTGAACAATCTCCCAACTCATCTCTCGTTTCGCCGCGGCATTCGGTCCCTTATCCATCGCGCCGGTCGCGAACGCCCCGTACCTGAACCGAACCTGTCCGTTCAGGTACCGGAAGTTGGGACCCGGGGGAATCGACGGCGGACGTCGTCTGGAAGCGAAACTTCCTTTTCCGTATTCTCCTACGCCGCGTAGTTTCCGAGTTACGCCCCTCCAAAGAACCGACCAATCAGAGCGCTGCATTCTTATTTACGCTTTATCTCCGAAACTACGGGTCGTAGAAAAAAACGGTAAAGGAAGTTTCGTCGCGGAATCCGGTCCCCTATCGATCGCATCGGTCGCGAACGCCCCCTACCTGAACCGACCCTGTCCGTTCAGGTACCGGATGTTGCGACCCGACGGAATCGACACCGGACGTCATTTGGAATCGAAAGTACTTTTTCCGTTTTCTTAGTTTGGTGTAATATACTTCGGGCCTGCGTAGAAAACTAGGAGCGTATTATACGTTGTAATATACGTGTAAAAAACCACGTACATTACTTGACGTATTATACTTGCCCAAACCTGCATGGATTCATACGTCCATGGTCCTCGCAGATTACCCGCCCCGTCGGTACTCCGCGTCGATACACCGTGATACACCGGTTCTATCGGTTCACCGGCCTCCCCATCGGTACATCGTCAGTGTCGGTACACCGTGCACGTCGATACTGTAGCTGGGCGATTTCGCTTCAAAGTTACGGTAAAAAACTCCCTCCTATCCTACTGTGATAACCCTGCCCTGACTCGGTTCAAAGCTTATAAATGTCATTCATCTGTCCTAACCGTCGTGATTCCATTGTAACCTAAGCCGAACCCTTTCCTCCCCCCCAACATACCTTATCCCGACCCACTCCTATCTTATCCTAACCAAATCGGGCCCTCGCTTCTCTTGGCGGGCGGATTTTGCAGATTTCGCAGATTTCGCGAGTTTAGCGGGTATCGCGGGTTACCGCGAACAGGCGAAAACCAGGTGAGTCGAGTCGTCCGCAGCGACTTCCCCCACCACTACCGTCGCGGTTCCTACCGCCCAAAAAAACCGCCGGACACTTCATGCCGCGGAATGAACTAACCCAGAACAATATTATACGTCCATAGTTATCGGGTTGATCGAGACCCCACCCGGTTGAATTTGATTGGCCTATTGACATTTATTTGGAGCCTATTTCTTAAGAATATACGCAGGCACTAAAAATGCAGATTATTCTAAAAAATGATAGCGTATTCGTAGCAGTGGTGTTAGGACTTAACACGCGATACGTCATGTAAGCCCATGGATTTCTATTTTTACTTTTATGTACGTATCAGATACAAATAATTATAAATTAATAATGCGACAAGTTTAAACGTCTTGTAGTTTTATTGATTTGTACATAGTATCAAGATGAGAATAGTATATTACAGTTACAGTTTGTTATGGGTCAATGATTGACGCCATGGCATGGCAAGTTTTAATATGAATTATGAGACTCTGAAATCGACGTGAAAAAAACAGTCCCATATTTTATGAAAGAAGTTTAGGTTCTTAATATAATACTGAAGCAACATTATACCATCTCGCTTACATCTAACGGTTTTATTTCCAGTAAAACGTAATGCACGTGACCTACAGATCCATATATCCTTGGAAATATAACTTGCTCATTCACGTAAATATTATTCGAATTATATGTCTTACAGACTGAATCGCATTGACGCACATAAAATACTTTTTAAGTATTCAGGCGTTATGAAAGGGTCCTCATGTATATCGAAACAACGAAATAATTATAAAACTTTTCGTCAAACTGGGTACATTGAATCATTTGAAACTTCTACATGTGATTATGAAAGCCTTAAGGAAGAACGTGATCATGAAATTTCATTAAACTAAATATTATTCATCCCAGATTAGAACCAAGAACACATTTTCTTTGAAAAGTAAAATTTCATGAGAATCACGTTCTTTCTTTAGGGCATACATAATTGCGTGTTGAAGTTCCAACTAATTCGGTGCACCCAGTTTGGAGAAAAGTTTTTAAATATTTTGACGTTCTGATATATATAGAATGACCTTTTCATAATACCTTAAGTACAAGTGTAACTACGATATTCCACTTAACTTTATCGTATTCATAAAAACTAACATGCGAGTAAAAAAATTAACTCGACGATGTAATTGTATCAATTTAGAGTGACGCATTATATTAACCTAAAGTTCTTTTCTACTCTTGAAAGTATAATAACTACCTCTAACTTGCTAAAACAACAGGATGTAGATGACGTAACTTACTATTTGCATATCTTTGAGCCTTTGTGTAATTTATTCACTTATACAGTCTACATAAACAAATTCAATTATTTCATTTCACGATACTGTAACAAGCTCTCGTCGTCTTTACAAAATATTAACAATTGACAGAATAAACAGAAAAGATTCATTTATGGGGGTATGTAATTGTAACGTTTACACTGTTTCTCCTTAAATGGACAACTGTGAATCGGAATCACATTTGTGCGGAATAACCGGTAACTCTGGAAATGCAAACCAGTTTATTATAAATAGGCTTTTTTTTTTCTTTTTCATTCATTCTGCTCATTTTCTCGATAGGGTAAAACGAGTGCAGCAGTCAGTCACGAGAACAGAAGTAGTGTGTAAATTGTATGCTATAAATGGACAGTTCTAAATAACGTCAACCAATCATTTTTTATGGTTTAACATGCATCTCAAATAATAACGTTTTGTGACCGAAAATATTAATAACCATCATGGTATTTAAATATTTGGCTAAACTTTTTTTTTTACACCTAATGGTGCTCTTAATGTTCGTAATTTCGATTCAAATTTTAATGAGCGACAGTTCAGAAATAGAAGAAGGATGAGAGAAATAATACGTTGCCTTTACCTCGATTTCAAGATATCGAAAATGATTCATAATTTCGATCATACCGATTCGAGTCGCTGAGATCTTCGTTTGAGCAACATCAATTGGGAATTTTACATTGTTCCTATCTAGAAAACGATGAATTGAACAAAAAAAACTGTTCAGCTATAAACCGATCACTGGCCAAGATTTGGTCAATGAAAATACTTATACATTTTTTGTCGGAGTGAGGAATGAACATAACGTGGCAGTTAAGAGCCCCGTTAATAATACCACGTTAAGAGAATTTTACGGCAATTAAGGAATATCGGTTATGATACTGCTCATTTTATGCATCACCTTGTACTAACTTGTATATAAAAGGCCTACGTATGATGCGTGAGTGTTCGTACAGAGTAAGCATTACGAATATTAAAATATATAGATGATATACGCGTCAACTTTCAAAATGGAATAAAACGCATGAAATATCAGTCACGCTTTTGACTCTCTTATATAGGAGAAACCGATGAAATTAAATTATTGCATGAAGGAAAAGAATTATATAAAAGTAGGGTAATACTTGAGCTCAATATCATATTCATTGATATGAATTAAATGAATAATGTCAGTGTAAAGATAAGAACGTATATAAATTAATAGTATTCTGTTAATATTCAACAATAGAAAATGTACATTTACGAATATATACGGGACTTCAATGATTGCGATACGAGAATCGTGATGTAGGTTTCTTTTTTAAATGTAAAAAAAAACAGAACAAATTATTTGAACGACAGCTACAACGGGAAACCGTTCTATCCAATTCAAAAACCGACCGTCTACTTCACCGGCGTAAAGTACCGGGACTATCTTGTATCCGTTCGTCCGAATTTTTCACCGTTACATACAAGTTTTTGCTCGTTGTATCTCCAGGTTTTAGATTCGTGCCATAAATACCGCATTTAAATACGATATTTTTAAGAAAACAAAGCGTGTGAACGGTTAATCCAATGTAGATGCCACTACTTGGAAGAATGTCGATCCACCACAGTAACGTTAGAACTTAGGTATGAAAGTTGATTATTTACATTAGAGTTGGAGGAAGAGTAAAAGCTATACCTCGTGCTACAATCTACACTACATATTTCATACGACTTATAAAATTTAATCTATAAATTATAAAAATACTCTCCAAGGCACTTGGCGCGAGATGTCGATTATTCGATGAAACCCTGACATTATTACAGCTTCAGTCACTACATAGCTCAAAGCGCTGCGCGATTTGAATCTATTCTTGCTTCATTACTGATCAAGAGATCATGTTTGCCTTACTATCGCATCTACGTTTGTCATGTCGCAATATCTCTTCTAAAGACTGGGGGCATCGATACGGGCTCAACGTGAGCCTATATTCTTATATCCATTAAAGTACGGGCACTTGTACACTTGCACTTTCGAGGTCCAAAATGACAGCCGCTGTAGAAGCGGAACGTCTTTGCGATGAAACTCGTGCTTCGACAAGTAGGAGGCAGTGTAAACGAATGATCCGAAATATGTCTTACATTACACGCATGGAGCGGTATAATTATGCGTATGCGGAGCACCGCGAATTCATGAGAACCGCAAAGAAACCATGCCAATGTATATACCTTTTTCAACGGAACGCCCTATTGCTTTGAGAAAATCCCCAATATTTGGATATCAAATTACAGTTATAGTAGGTACGTCAGGTTCCTTTTACCACTACGAAAAGTTCTTCGGGATATATTAACTCCAGGTCACGCGAGGCTCGTCCTCGCGAGTACTTCTTATTGCATATATTACTGCTGCGATTTCAGGGCAACGTGAAATCAACGAATCTTCCCTGCCATTTATCGAACTCATTCTAATTACATGTTTCTCGAACACCTCCACATGGTCGATTATTCGTGCACGAAGACGACTCTCTCGAATATCGAAGGAATCGGAAGCACGACTGGCAATTCTGATCCGCGAATGTCCCGTTTTCTGTATCTTCCTAGGAGGAATCCACCTCGTTTGGAAGAAGATCCCATCGCTGGATCGTCGCACTGGCCGGAGTCGCGGTCGTCCGAAAGCAGACCACCAGCCTGTGGGCGATGTCCTAACGTGGTCGGCGACGCATCCTTACACCTTGCATCCTCGATTCAGCCGAACGGTTGGCAATACTTTTTATTTCCACTGTTTGCTCAACTCCTTACAAAAGTATGGCGAATCTCGCGAGGAGTGCCACGGCAGTAGTTAAAATTCGCCACGTCGGTCTTCTCGAGCCGAGCGAGTCTTCGACTCCGGAGTTTTCCTTCTCGTCCATGTTCGACGAATCGTCTTGATTCATCGACGTGGCCAGCTCCTCGTCAGGATCTTCTGTGGATTTTCACGGAAAATTGTACATCAGGTCCAACCGTATGACATGCACGGTCGCGTTCGCGCTGGCGAGATCATCACACGAAGGCACGCAGTCATTAATTTGGCGACAATAATTTAGCGAGCAACCGATATCGCACGGTCTGCACTCGAAGTAGCGAAGTAGCAAATGTCTCGAACGGGATGGAACGACCCCACAGGACACCCTGGGGCATTATTGCTACGACGTCGGTGGTCGCTGTTGTTTGGAACTTTCGTTAGGTGTTTGGCCTGATCTCTGACTCGTGGCACTTCCAGAGGCCGCGGGAAGCATCCCCTCACTTTTTCTCGAATCCGAACGATCCGAAACGAAAGTTGGTCACCTCTGGAAACACCGGGATTTTGCTTCATTAATTCCGCATTTGCGATCATTTTCGATTACTTTGCAATGGATGGAACGTGGTACTACTCGGAAGGCAACAATGTGTGTGTGTCTATGATTTGTATGCGGACATGACTTGACGTACTCGACGGAATTTTAACTGTCTCAAAATTCATTCCGATTGAGAAAATGATATGTGCGCATTCATAGTTTACAGGCGAGTTGCATGCTTCCGATTGACTTGAATTTTATCGAAAATGTTTCAGAAACTTACCCACTGACGAAATGGGCATTAATCGTTCTTCGAATTTCCACGTTGTTCAAATTAGACCCGTGATAGGAAATAATTTATGTTATGAAAAAGGTAATATGACGCTTAGTACTCGCCAATGTAAAATTGACTCTAAATTAAATGGATACTGTAAATAAATGACCGACCAACAAATAATAATGTTCGTTGTTTACTTCATTATATATTAATAGTATTTTCTTGAAGCACATTCATCGAATGATAACACGAAATAGTGTACAGTATACAATATAAGTGAACGTAAAGTTTGTATTTTTTTGCGTTATTCCGTTTGGCAAGTACTTGTTAATGACATTTAGAAATTGACATACATATTTTTTTATTATTAAGCTCTGTGACGTTTCGATCATAGTATTAGCATTACGGAATGCTTTCCACCGTGCTATGTATCGTATTTTCGGATGAAACGGATTAAGAAACTGTGCGATGCAAAGACGATAAATGCGTAACCTTCGAATAGTCCGCGTACCATCCACGTCGCCAATCTATGAAATCATTGTGTTGTTGGAATCAATTGAAACGAATAACGTATATTAGCCTCGAGGTCTGGAAACACGTATAGAATCGATTATTGATTCAATAATTGATTACTGAATCGATTCTATCCGATTGAACCTAACATGTCCGTTTTTGTTGAACAACGGAAGTCCTTGCGATCATCTTCTCTTTAATTTATTTGTTATCTTCGTGTTATTTAACAATATTATTGATAATCTGCATACTTGTCAATAAATTACCCGAGTACAAAGAAATTGGCACTTGAAAACATCAATTTTAAATCAACACTTAGTAATTGCAGTATCTTCCATTTGAAAAAGGATAGTTCTGTTTCATAAAATCAACTTAATGTATAAATATAATTAATATCGATAAAAACTTCAGTAGAAATCTCTAGAATGAGCTTCATCTGTAAATAGTATAAAATCAAATGGAGTTTTCAATTAAAGCCGGGCAACAATATTTTTCGACGAAAGCAAGGATTGTTCAAGGATCTGTGTTCAACTTCAATGTGAACTTTCGTATGAATAAAAAATTATAACTTAACAATGATGCCATATCGGAGACGATAGAAAAAAGTAAAATTTCCATTTCAATTTAATGAAATCTACGACACAATAATTTAATTAAGTAAAACTGGTAAGTTGAAAGATCCAGAAATAGTAACGTTGCATGCGTCTTGAGGAAAGAAATTAATATTGAATGTCTCATTTATACTTCGTATAATGCATTATTCATGACATCTTATGTAGAAATACGTCATTTTAGATCGATTACAAATATAAAACATTTTCTCTATTATTCATTAACAACCGCCTGGCACGTATTTCCGGTACAGGTGCACATGTTGTAAGATTCGTTACTGCAAATAGTATGCAGGGGACACCGAGGTCAAATGTAACACGGGGCAATTGTGACAAACATTATAAATTTTATCTTTAAACATGGAAAAACGAATCGAGACAGTGTTCATTTCCCTATGAATCCCAAATTAATACAATCTCTCGTGCTTTCACGTATTTGTCAATTTATACTTCTCGTCCTTAAATATTCATTCAATTTTCCAAATTAATAAGTATACGGTACATTTGCTCCGACAAATGTTACAATCGCACCCTATACCGATAGCAATTGTAACAAAGACGTTCAGTACGGAAAATAAAGTTTCCAATTGTCCACGAATTTTTAAAGCGATAAAAACTAAACTCTAAACAGAATCGTGAAAATCCGTTACTGTCAATTACAGAATTAAAACCATAAAAAATGTTACGATTGACCTAGGTCCCCCCTACTAACGTAAAAAGCAAACTTCTGTATGTAAACCCATACATGTGCAGTGTAATCTATTAAGTGTACGTACATGTACACATGAGTCTTGACGAAACGGATTCTAACATTTGGAATGCTATTGCAACTATACTTACATGGTAAATAAGAATTGAATTTTGTTTCTTATGTTTGTTACCCCAATTTCTTCACAATACGGTACAATCGTTAAAGTTGCGTGTCAGTAAATGCGAAAGTCAATTTCTTCGAATCAAATCTTTCAGAATCTCCACAAGTTTTTCAAATTGAGATTCTTTTACAAAAACGAAATCAACTACAATCATCGTGGTGTGTCTCATCACCGGTATAAAACGGTGTACTACGCATGTGAAGTCAGGTAAATGTCAGTCGGTATGAACCGTATTAATCGCAAAATGAGAAAACATTCTTTCGTAAAGTTACGAGTAGGATCATAAAATTCTTTACCAATTATGTACGTTCTTACACCTGTCGTTTCTTTGCCAAGAACAACCGTTTCAATACGAAACGCTTTACCGGGTATAAAAGCACATGAAATAAAAATGGTTTCATCGGTAAAAGATATTCCTTTCTTCAGAAAATGAGGGAGATACTGGCGCGACATGATATAAACGTGTTATATTTCTGATATGTATGTGTCGAAACGCAATTAGGAAAAAAAAAAAAATGACGTTTCAAGTTCAACTTAATGAGCACATTCAACGTTACTACCTGTTGGGCTTTGTTTCAAGATGCAATTCACAGCATGCTGCAGGTTCGATTAGTATCCGCAACTACAATCTAGACAGTGCGACATTCAAGGTGAAAAGAATCGAGTTGCTCGTGCGGGTAGTTTAATGACTTGGGGGAAAGGCAAGTGCAATTAATTTACATGAAGTAATTTTAATTAATCGGGGGGGGGGGGGAGGCAGAGCATTAATTTTCGTACAGAGCTACGCTACAATTAGAGAGATGAGAAACGGAGACAAGATTTTCATTAAATGTCAGTTCCAAACAACGTGACTACTAACCGTCGTATTTCTAACATGCACCTCATGTATCGTTGTCTATCGAGTTGAGTGCATATAAGTAATAAATAGTATTATGTGTCTCCGTGTGATGTTCCGCGACATACGTGTATCTGTATGCGTATAAGAGACGTGCAACAACTAAACGCTACTTCCTGCAATTTCTAGATAATGCATTAAATCAGCAGAACATAATGGCCGAGAGGAAAGAGTACGAAATATCAAGACGAAACATTTGTCATAACAAGGTACAATTACTTTTGCACCTTTGCGATATGTTTAACGTGAACTTTGTACAAGATTCCAAAAACTTGGTGTTTCAGATCTTTCCAATCACTTTGATGCAAAGTGGACGACCGGTATGAAAAACTTGAAATGCTCTCTGAACACCTTCAGAGGAACGTCCCAAATTATGCTCCGAATCTTTCAAACGATGCATGAACATCGTAAACATTCGTGACATGACCCGAATTCGTGATTGTAATGGTACAAAGTTCACGATAGGCCAAGGAATCTAATATTACTAGCGTATGTTAATAAGGAATAATAGGGCATTCGATGCGATCACTCCAAGGCATGTTATAACAGAAGAGGAAGAGAAAGGTAAAATTGAAGAGAGAGCATGTAAAAAAGAAGAGAGCGTTTCACCACAACCACTACTTTTGTTAAGACAGTATCCTGAAGTAAAAATGAAAGTAAAGAGAAGTATTATAACTTATACTACGATATATTTACTCTGCTTTTCAACTCTGGACTCGGCGGTGGTGAAGTTTTGGCGACTTTTTATTTCTTATTATTATCCGTATTGTAGTATCCCCTTTGAAAACACGTAAGTGTGGTCACGGATGGTGTAACTTACACGCGTATTTTTCAAGGTGAAGGGAATATATACGGACCTAGAGACCGAACGTTTGATTTTTCAACCCGCCGCCTGGCTAATATAATACATATAATCGTGCAATGCACATTTCTCATTTATGCTTACTATTAGCAAAAAAGAAATAACTCAACAATGACACTTATCTGGCAAACATCTCAAATATAACAAAGTATGGAAGCTCTCTTGGGGGGTATCTATAAAGGATATATGTAAGGTCCTAATACCGAATCAACCGATTTTCATGAAACGTGGAAAATACTGCGATTAATACGTTAGCGTTTGATGACTGTGTAACGTTATTCCTTCGATGCTTCGTATTATACATTATTCATTAACCATTCTTTAATCCATTTACATCTTTGCGGCGTTACTCTTGTCAATCTGTTAATCGATGAATGGGAAAAAAATTAGTCCCTCCACCATGCATCTAATCTGATATTACCATTTCCCAATCTGGAAATTTGACAATGGAACACGAAGAAACGAAAATACATCTCCGAAGTAACCCCGTTTCAATTGTTTCTACAATTTGTCCTTATTTGCAAACTCTGAGTAGACATCCTTTTGACAAGAGAAATCGATCTCGTTCTTACAAATTATTATTATTAATATTCACAAGATAAGTAATTTCAAGTAAATAATAAAAATAAATATACAATCGCGGCGGAAGCATTAGGATTTCAATTATCCAGTTTCTTGAATTCGTAATTGTTTCTAAATGATTTTCTTCAAACTCAGACAAAATTACTTAAGGCGGCGCCACACGTTCGGCGTTCATCTAGTGCCCAGCAAAAATTTACCTACTACCGAGTCATGTCTACGGATCACTCGAAGCAAATATTCAGTGTTCGCCTTTCCTCGCTTCGTATCGATATTTCGTTTCGAAATTTAGCAAATGCAAAACGATCATTGGCACCGATCGTCGTTCCCACGACGCATCGGTGCTCGGCAAAATAAACAACGTGTGCTCGCCACTTGACGAACACTTCCCGAACACTTCCCGATCACGCCTCGACGAACATTCGATACTGGTCGAATATCGAATGGGTGGCGCCGCTTTTAAGACGCCATCGAAAGTAACATTAAACTATTGTACTTAAGATGAAGCGGAAACCATGAAAAAATGTAATTGGCATCGGTACGGATTAAGAAAAATATGCAACAATTAAGTATGAACGGCTCGCATAGAATTAATCTGCGATATTACGCTCTGTTTCGTCAATTCGTGTTCGGCCAATTTGCAGGTTATTTTTGGTAGTGCATCCATTGTGACACTGTGATTGCATATGTACAAACTTCTATCATGGTTTCGCATTTGCTTAAGGTAAGAAAAACTACGGATTTCCCGAAAATCCGAACTCGCGGTCTTTCGATCGAAAACGATACATTGCCGAAGGCAACCAAAGACCCGTGCAACCTCTGACAATGAGTATACTGGAATCCCGAGTAGTCTCAGATAGCTTCCCGAAACTTGATTGATGCTCAAGTACCTGCGTCTAATATAATGTCACCGACATCGCCAACGTTATCGCCTTCAGCGCCAACGTCATCACCATCGACCGCCTCCAGATTGCTAGCATACGAAGTAGATTCTCCAGAATTCTCAACCATCCATTGAACATTACCTACAGTTCCTTTGTTTGCCGACCTGCAACCGAACCACCAGTATGCGATCGACCGTGGGAATGCCGGATCTGCGACGTCGACCTAAAAGAAAGACAACGAAACTCGGTAAATCAATTTCGGACAAAGTCAAAGCAATGATCAAATTTCAATGTTGCGTATTCTCTGCGAATGCTCAAATGCATATATTGCCTTATAAAACGGTTGAATAAACAACAAAATTCTATAACCTTAACAAAGTGGATACATAAATGTCCCTTTGCACGATCATGATTTATTGGAAGCATTCGCATGATTTGAATTCTCAAGTGACGTTGTAACTTAACTTTCATAGGGCAGCTATACTTACAGAAAAGGCCCTATCGTTGAATCGGTAATAGGCGCTCCCTTTGAAGAAGTAAGTGTACCCATTGTAGGTCAAAGCAGCGTCCAAATTGTCAGGCAGTCCTTCCCAATTTGAGATCAGTTTTGGATAAGTGCTCTTAACCGGGGGCCTTTGAGCGGGGTCGAACCTCCAGAATTTGGTCCCCTTATAGAAGTAGATCTTGCCGTTCCCTGTCCAGACTGTAGCGGCGTCGATATTGTCAGGAATTCCTGTGAACCCTTCGCTGATGTCCTTAGGATAGCTCCCATCCATCCTCTTGCCCACGTACCTCCAGTATTTCGATCCCTGAAGCATTCGCATTGTCCATATTATTCCATCTTATTCGGCACCGTCATCGGGACGTCCCGCACCGACCGACATTCCGGCAGAGAGCGTTTCGTCGATACGTCTCGATTGCGGTCCGTCGGTTGAAAATAATGAGCTGTACAGAATACGGCTGACGAAACATGGTTCGAGAATAATCAGTTCGATGTGTCAAGTTTCATGAGCCGCTGTATACAAAAAGTCGTTCTAAATACAGCGATGCGGCGTAAACCGGTCATTTCGCACACTCTTCCGAAAGACGCTCAGATTTATATGCACTGCAATGATAACTACGTCTCTAAAACAAATATAGACTGGACATGTGTTTATATGAATAATTTTGATATCCTTGTTTCTTCAATTCATTCCTCCTGCATAGAAATGCACACGATAAAGTCAGTCTGCGGGACATTGTACATTTTTCCTCCGTATATACCTTGAAAAAGTATGTTTTGCCGTTTTTGTATGTAAAGGCAGCATCTATGTTTCCCGGCAAACCCTTCCATGAGTTGCTGATGAGTCTCGGATAACCACTGGCAACGCCATCTGCTGTTAATTTCCAATAATGATCTCCTGTAAAAGAATAATTTCATTTCCCAGTTTATGAAACTTCATTTTAATACGTAGCATTTATAACCGTATTACAGAAAAAGTAAGTCCACTTTTTTTTCTTTTTTAAACGTCATCTTTTACGTCGTTGCATTTGCAATTTAACAATACTTTTTCCATGTCATAACAAGTAACAAGTATTCCAGTTTTCAATGGTGATGAAAATAATGTATACCGTTAGTGCATCATTATTTAAGGAAAATGTTGCAAGTGCCAGACGGGCTAATAAAGAAGTTGTAAATTAAAGAACTTCAAGTATCATTCTCGGATACGTCAATAAATCTGAAAGACAATGTCCTTATGTTTATTTTACAGCTGAAAAGAGGTTCTGTTACTTTCCACTTTAGAATTCAAGCAGCCTGCTTTTTAATGTCAAAAAATCCATAACTCTAAATACAACCTTCCAACACCGTTTGTAGTATAATTAAGGTGATATGAAAGTGGCGTCAAAGAGGTCTCGTTCTTGAAACTTTTCTCCGAACTGAGTGTACCGAATCTATTTAAATTTTAGAACGTGAATATGGAGGCTATAACAAAAGTCCTAACACTCTTGAAATTTCGTTTGTATTTAATTCGTTTATGGATATTTTCAACATTTCTTATAAAAAATGAAGTTTCATGCGTGTCAAGATCTTCCTTGAAGCCTTCATATTCACATTGTAAAGTTTTAAACGATTCGATATATTCAATTCGGCGAAAAATTTCACGAACGATTGACCTCCAAGGTATCACTCTCATATCTCCCTAAGTTATCGTAAGTCCACTTTTACTTGGCAATAATTTCTATTAAAATGTAAATATTATGTAATCAAAAGCATCGGATATCTGTTACCGCATAATTGCTTATAAGCAATTAACAATGCAACTACAAATCATCATTTGATTTTACAGTCTTTTCCAAACGTCTCCATCGTATTCAATTTAGACATAACCACTTTGTTCATTATTACGGCAGAACAGTTCTGAATTTTTACTTAAGAAATTAAAAAACTTAGAGTAACGTGTATCTTTTGAGAAACTCAATGAACCTTGCACAATTTACAAAGTCCAGTTATTCGACCGTTTCCTATTTTCAATAATAAAACGGTATTTCTCCATTTTATCATGAAATAAATGCATTCTTTATTTGAAAGGATGGACTTATATATGTACAACCCCTAATTAGGTTTGTATTGTCGACAAAAGCACAAAACTTGAAACTAAACGGAATCCCACAAGAAATACGTAGAGTTTAAGCAAGTATGTATCGTACGGCGGTTATATTATTATAAAATTTCATATTTCTTTTTGGCTAATTATCAATACCGATCATAAAGTCTAGGTACGTTTCCCAAATGCGTCCTTCGGTACCGTCTTAACATTATCTTTAAACTGCATGATAATTAATCACGTTTTGTCAACTTAAAATGAGGAATTCGGTCATGCATTCAACTTTTTGTAACATTTAGTTGATTGAACAACCGCACATGATCGTGTTGAAACGCCCATTATTAAGCACTTACAGGATTCATAACGTAATCCAGCGGCTTAACGCTTTCTGCCTTAACGTAAACGTTTTCTCTGCCGAAAAACGGTAACGGAACCGAGTGGGGGGGGGGATTAAGAGTTTCTTTCGATTACCGATTTCCCTTGAAACCGGAGACTGCTATTTTAGCTTCCCTAAACTCTTGATTTCTTCGTTGAATGTATTCATTTCACGGCGAACAGAATACTCGCACTCAACATTAAATGCGTTTCCGTTCTCCCAAACGTGATTTCCAATCCCAAGATAAGTACATTTGCCTTTGTTTTCGTTTTACCGCACTTCCGTTTTAGCGTTAATCATTTTATTACTCCCAACCGTTTGCAATACGATGATAACGAAAGGGTGGAAATAAATCCGCTCGTTTAGGAAGCAACGAATATGTCATTTGCTGCGAGTTCTCTTTGAAGGATCGTCAATAAGCAAACGGTAACAAACCTTGGAAAGCGTACGTGTGTCCTTCCGCGGAATTGAACATGGTATCGACCTTAGGGTTCATGCACAACCGGGGGTCCTCCTCGCTGCCCGAAGGCGAAACCGTGGTCCGGTGAGAAGTGCCGGTTCCTTCGTCGTCCGTTTTCGAACCATAAAGAGCCTGAGAGGTATAAAGAGGAAAGTGACGGTGGGAGACAGCGAGTAGCGCGACAGCAATTATCCGATTCCGTCCCAACCTGGATGCCCTGTATGTCGTCCGTGTCCAACGTGAAGGTAGGATCGTACCCACGGTAGAAGGGCGCCATCAGGGCCGACTTGATGTCGCTGTGGCTGAGCCCCAGAGAATGTCCAAACTCGTGTGCGGCTACCTGGAAGAGGTTGGTGCCCCGGTAGCTGTTGACGGTCCACTGCTCGGAGTCGTCGAAGTGGGCGTCTCCGCCGTAGACGGGAAAGTAGGCATGGGCCAGGGTGCCTCCGGGGCCGTCGAAGGGATCGCCGTCGCCGTGCTCACCCTTCTCGAACCTGATCTCGATGTGGACCTGCAGAGATAGCGCGTTGCTTCTTACCACTTGTTTCAATTTAGCGATCCGACGAGTCGAGTATTTTAACTCGTTAAACGCGAGTCAAGCATGTATTCGAGTCACCTCGAGTCATCGTTGTTGTAACTCGAGTTATTAAAATGATACGAAAGAGTCGGCCTGAAAACGTTGAGAGGTCCAATCGTTCGTGAGTGTTCTTCGAATTGGATGTATCGATTCGTTTCAAATTTTGTTACCACGTAAAGATGGAGGCCTTATGGTAGGTCCTGAAACTCGTGAAATTTCAATTTTTATAAAAAATAAATTGTTCATTTATCATGGACTAGAACTAGCATAGCGTTATCCGTGCACGTTTTTTATGTATTGCGCTTTTTCAAGGCCTAGAATCGAAAATAATGAGTTTCAGGACCTAGTTCGAACTATTTAGAATAGAGTAGAAATGAAATGTTCCAGAGTTACGTGGGTAATGCGTGTCTTCGGAGCAAAAATTTAGTTGCAGCTAAATGTCACGGATGGTCCCGTCGGTCCATTAGAGTATTAAAAATCTTGACTCCATGGGACTTCGACAGTTTTACTTCGATCTCTTTATAATTATTCTACCGAAATGACATATGGAACATTTCATTTCGTATAACTCTCAATGTACCGAGTAATAGACTTCAACGTAAATATAAATGTCGGTAACGCGGCGCGTCAGTTTGTGTTACCACTTAAGTATCCAGTAATGGCGTTACCACCGAAAGGAGTACAGATGAATTTTATTTCCCTGACGTCGAGTAACTTTTTCAGCGCCTTTCATATCACCTTAATACAGACGAGAGCGAGTTACGAGCATAAGGACGAGTTCGAGTTACCAATTCGAGTAATCGGTATTCGGTATTATAATTATTTTACTCTCCAACTTGCCATTGACTCGACTCGCCACGCCAAATGTATGCGACATCGAGTCGAGTACAAACTCGAATTGGCACGGTATCCGACTCGTCACATCACTACTTAAATTGCATTTACGAACACATGACGAGATTTCATCGATTCTTCTCGTTTACCTGACCAGACTTCTTCGGCGTGAACGTCAAATCGGTGTACTCCGACCACACGGAAAAGGCTTTTGCGATTTCTTTGTCGACGGCGTTTCTCTCTAAAATCCTTGGGTACTTACTGATCTTGTACGTCAGTTTTTTCACCCTCCACCTTGAACCTGTTTTCATCGAGAATATGTCAATTAGTTGCTTAAGACAGGCGCTAAGATTTGGCGCGCATTGTTTTGTTTTGTTTTGTGAGTTTCTCAATTTATGTTACTGACTTCTACGTTACCAAAGAATGTGAGAAAATATATACTTGATGAGTATTCCTAATATAAGGTCAAAGGTAAAGCATTGTTGTAAAGGTTGTAAAACTCGTTTCTTTCGTGTCTTGGCCTAATGTATATATATTTATATATTTGTTTTTTATCTTTTATCTTTCGAAATTAATTCCGTAATTGAGATAACGTGACGTTTCGGTGAAAATAAAACCGTGTCTCAAGTGACCCTCTACTGAGGGTCAATAGGAGCATGTATAAAAAAAGATATATCAAAACCATAACCCACCCTATAAACTGCTTCGTTTTGGTATTCAAGAATACTTATCGGTTATCGCCACGTTTCTAGAGTTGAAACCATTTGTTAAAAAATGAAAGTTATCGACATAAACGTTTTAATATCGTCGCGATTGACCCCGTTTGACGGTACTGCACACCATTGTGTAAACGAACTTGCCCTAACAAACAACGAATTGGACATTTTCAAGAAATACTGTTTAGGTAGACAAATTACCTTCATCTCGAGTGATTTAACATAAAAGAGATAAAAAATGCACGTGCATTAAGATACATTGGCATGACCGACGGTACCGCCAAAATGAGACATAAGAATGACTCCGGAAGGAGAAGGAAGTTTATCGGGTAGCTATCTTATGTCGGACACGTGCAGGTGACGTAGAAGCGTTCCGTGAGACGTGTTTCCGATACTTTTTAAGAGGACGCGCGTTCCAGTTGTCCGTTCCGATAGAATTCCATAGGATATACGCGCCGTTGGATTCGCCCGTTCAAATCACTGGAACGTACGACTATAAATTCAGGGTTTACAACGACGCTACATTCAAAGTCATGGCTAGAGACTCGTCAAAGTAACCTGTCATATATTCGTTATTAATACCTTGACCTAATCGCTCGTTTCTTTACGATTGAAAGTTGACGTTCACTACTCAAATATTTAAGCTAACACCGAAAAGTGTCGGCCACGGCCAACTTGTATCCGAGAGGAACTCCCGGTTCCATGAATTTCAGAAAGAAGGCGATCTTTACCCTTCGATGGAAAACACAGTCCTCTTGCTACTCGTATTGCTCGCGATCGTGCATACGGGTCTAAAAACTCCAATATTGGAAAGCGATCGCTTTTTGATCACGATTTATGATGCGGTTCAGCTTTCCGATTAAAGAAAGTAGCGTTTAAGTAGAATCGACGATAAATAATCAAGAAGCATGTTTGCGAAATGTTGTAAGCGAAAGAAGGAGGAAAACGGTGCGACCATTTCGGTCTCCCGTTTAGATTCGATTCGAGAATTGACACTTAAACTATCAATGACGTAAATGCTAAAAGCACGTCCCGTGCCGCTTAACCATCGGCGCTTAACGCTCGACGACGTAAGAAAACTCGTGATGTAAGTGTTTCAGAATTTTCCTTGCAGCGGTACAGAGTCAAATCTTACTTTGCCTCGTTATCTTTACGAAGGCAATCCAAGTCAATCGATATCCAATCTTCGTAGCAACGAAAATCAATTCTCTCCCGATTTGGTAAGCAAGTGTTCGAGAACAACTAGTTTAATGATATATGGCCGATTTGAATGAACGCCGATTCGTCTTGGAGATCGATTCTACGTTAACCCTTCCAGGGCGTTGGGAATATGCCTAGCTTAGACTTCCGTCCATCGGAATGATCAAAAAGTCGGGACTAACGTCGAATCTAATGGATTCCAACATAATCCTCTCGTTTTTTTCCCCTCTCTTTCTCCCTACCCCTTTCCGGCCGAGTAACCGACAAAATGGTGAATTATTGAATTATTGCAGCTCACGACGTTCCATCGGAAACCTGTGAACCTCTCCGATGCACGCATACGTCACGAAGCTCGTCTTCGATCATTCTGTGAACGAGTTTCTCATTTTATCGGGACTTTTGCCATCGGGATTTTTACCACTCGATGAATTTTCCCGAAATAGAATTCAGAAGTCCGTCTGGGACTCCTCGACGATCGGATTTTGCGAAACATCCTGCACGAATCATCGAGAGAGTTTCGTGTCGATCTCGACCGATTGGATAATCAATTGCCAGATCTCGCGGCACGTTATGTCATCCGCGGTTTCGTGACTGCCGACGGCGCAGCTCGCGTTGTCATCGGGGCTCCGACACCTTGTCGATTTTCTAATCGACTGCGAGCGCGATCGAGCAAAACGGACGCGAGAACGACTACCGACGACGAAGACGACGACGACGCCGACCCTGGATCGAAAGGAGCGATCCGCATACCGATGCATCGATCGATTTCCGTCAATCCTTGAACGGCTCGAACGTCGACCGAAGACCAGGGTTATCCCCTTTGCTCCTCGCCTTTTTCCCCCTTATTCCTTCGGTCGAGTCAACTTACCGCGGAATATTTCCGCCAAACGCCATGGATGGCACGCGGCACGGTCTCTCGTGGATTCACGTTATGGGAATACTTTTATCGTTTTTATTACTCTGAGTAATTTACCTTGAAGGGCGTATCTTTTCGACCTCCCATCGGAGCTTGGTCCTACTCTATCCTTAACACCGCACCTCGGCAAGGACATCAGGTGAGCGGTGTCATCGTCCAATATTCCTGAAAACGAATCATGATTAAAAATCAATGCATTACGATTGTTTCTTCGAGTATCCCTATTGACTATGGCTAATTATTTCCTGCGACGCGTACAATCGGTTCTGCCTGTTCCAGGTTTTCTGGCTACTCAACCATGAAAATATATCGTTACGGCGGTCCGTTATTCCTTGTTTCTTGCATTAGAACCTCAAAGTTACTCTTGCGCCTCTTGTTATAAGAATTTGACCAGGGACCCGATTCTCGAGCTCATACGCTCAACTTTCGCCCGCGAAATTGACAGCTTCGCATACGATTCGCAAATGGTGACGAACGACGATCGTACGTGTAAATTTATGGATTTAAACTTTAATCTACTCTGCGGGTGGGCCTCGGCATTTCAGCAATTTAACGGCAAGTTTTGTGCTAATTGAATTTCTTTATCAAACTAACGCATCGAAATGCCACTAATATGAGCCGTCGATAATAATGAGAAGTAAAAATTGAACGGAAGGTTTAAAGCTAATAATACAATATTTGACCGTGCCACCGTTCCCGAACGGCGCAGACGCATCGACAACCAACCAACGCTAACCAGGGTTCGTTTATATTTCTGGTATTCGTATTAGACGTGCCTCGAATTCTTGCAACGTTCAAAGATCGATGACGCGAATCCAACGGCCGGATTCGCGTCTCCTTTTAATCGTAAATCAACGAAACACATATCTCATGAAAACCCCCGAGCCACCAACGGGCGCGAGTTCCTCTCGTTAACGGCATATCGGGCAAAGTAACGTTTCTTCTAATCCCAAAATCCCCTAAATGGCCGTGAAGTCCTTCGGCGACCCGCGGTCCATCCGCCGATTCCCGTTTGAAACTCGTTACTCCTGCCGTCAATTACCGGCGTCAATTATCGACAACAACGCGGCAGTGATTAGGTACTACCGGGGATTGGTGCAGATTGTGCCCGCCATTTGTAACCGGCTTCGGTTAGATAACTCTTCCGCTTGCCTTCGCTTTTTATTGGTGCTCAATCGAAACTCCCGGGCCTTCGTTCTTCGTTGATAGTCCGAGGATGACATTTACCCGCGGCTTCTTCCTTATTTTGTTTTTTCCTCTCGGATGCGTTACCGTTCCCCCGTTGTTACGCCTTGCGAGTCTCGTAATTTCCTTCGGGATGCGCCGAGGAACCTTGACACGAATCCCCCAGTGTTTCTGGTTCTCTAGGTCAACGGATAACCCGTCGTTGTTACCTTATCATTTACGCCATTTTCACGATCGCCTTATTTTGATATCCGTCCAACGCATCGAAGTATCACTTCGTACGTGTGATCTATTCGACATTATGCTCGTTCTGCGATGATATTACAAATTAATGGATTTAGGGACAAACGCAACTCTAATTTTCGTAATTAGACACGTGCTCGTTAAAGTTATCAAATGACCGGCCACGTTGATGGAATCCACCTGACGAAATTGAGATACAACGAAAATCGCATATGTTGGAATAGTTATTTACGCATCGAGTGTAAACAGTAGCCGTTTGTCGCCCAAGTGCCGACAGAGGTAAGGGTCCTCACGGTGATCATTTAGTTATCTGTTATGTTTCATACTTTTCTTTGGAAAAGGTTACTCCATTTCCAGTCATTTTCGTGAGCAATCAATACTTGTAAAAAGGCATCTTATAAAAGTATGGAAAAATTGGCCAAAGTTATCAACAGATAACTAAAATGTTGAGTAACTTCGCTTCTACGTAGTTGTCGGTGATTATTTCTGTACTCACGTCTATTAACATATGTGCAGGATATCAACCATGCGGGATCAAAACTTCATAAGATATTAGCTTATGACAAAGCATGGAAAATGGCATCGTGTGGAAATTAACTTTAAAGTTTCAAAACAATTTCTTTGCAAAATGATATGCACATAAAAGTCTAGTTAATAAAGCACTTAAACCGTATGTACGGGTTGTCCTACATTGTTTCTGTATCTAGCGAAGAAATGGGTATTATCCCTCTGTCAATAGGTATGAGGCCCCTTTAATGGAGGAATCAGGGCAAGGAAATAGGTATTTATTGAATTAAATCTAATCCATATGAAATACTTTATAACTCGAAAGCATTTTCAGACCATTGCGTACACGGCCAAATTAAGCCGATGTGAAAATGGCGCCAAAGAGATCTCGTTTATGAAACTTTTCTTCGAACCGAGTGTGCCAAATCGTTTCAAACTTAACAATGTGAGTATACATGCTATAAGAAACGTCCAGAAACCCATGAAATTTCAATTTTTCTAAAAAATTATACAAGTGTCTGTAAACAAATTTAAAAAAATTGAAATTTCATGGGCGTCAGGACCATCCTTATAGCCTGCACATTCACATTGTTAAGTTTGAAACAGTTTGGTAGACCCAGCTCGAAGAAAAGTTTCATCGGTATTGACATGTGCAAGTGTAGATAACGATACGTCATTGTACAAGTTCTTCGTCACAATTGGAAGTAGTTTTACGTTAGTCATCAATTTCGTGATTTATTGAACGATGTAATACTCAATTGATTAAATGGTTTCACGTGATATCGATCCGAGAGGATTAACTCGTAAGCAACGATCACCGAAGTAATCATCGATCCATAGTAGTACGGGCTAATTAGCTTAAACCGTTAATACCTGTTGTTCAATCCATGTAATCGTTTCTTCTTCGTTTCACGAGATTGTTCATTCTTTAGTTCTTCTTACGTTCGAATATTATGAGAAAACTTTAATTTCTATGTGCAAATTGCCGAGAAATAGACTCACTCAAGGAACTCGAATGTCCTAGAATTAATTTCCTTCAAGAGAGACTTTTTATGCTTCAAGGAGACTACTCGGACATTACGACGGATAGGAGGTAAGTTTTCGAATACCTTTACAGTCTCCAATCCATATTGCCGCACAGGGTGTTCCAAAACTCGTAAAAAATCGTAATCTCTAAGCCTGGCGTAAGTTGGGTTCCGGACACGCGCATCCTCAACACTAGTTTTTATTCAACTTCAATTTTCTTCATTTTCAGTAGGTATTTCGATGAGTCAATTGAGAATAAGTAATAATTATTTATTAAACGATTAATTGATACATTAAATTAAGCATTTAAATGAAATGTGGGAAGAAACACGGATATTTCAAAGTTAAGGAATCCATGTTATTCGTCGTTACCGTGCACCAACATGGGTCAATATCGTTAATTGGTAATTTGCAATAATTCATCGTGTAATAAAAAAATGGGAAGAGAACGTTCGAATCTAAATTCTGCCACCTTTCAAGAACTCCAAAAAGGAAAGTCATCCGTTTTACGGAACTCCGTGTGTATGTATGCCCCCGCGCGCGCGCACGCACGAAAATGCGTATATACGGAGGCATACATAAAGGTAACGTATATTGAACTAGAAGAACGAAAACTAGGCAGATGTAGTAGTTAGCCTGTAGCTAACGTGATAAGGGTTACGTTTATTCCGGGGAGGTATCGCGGATAACGCATACGGTAAAATTGACAAGAAAGAAAGCTCTAAACGTTACGGTACACGGTCCGATCCCATTCGAATGATTTAGCACGTCGTATAACCGGACGCCTAACCGGAGAGAGTGTTTTCGGAAGCAGGGTGAATGCGACCAAAATGTGTTGCACCGGCAGCGGCGACACAAAACTCAACCGATGATTCAGAGTTCGATGAATTGCTTCGCGGCGGCATGGCGGGGTCGTACATCGGATGACTCACCCTCGCGATTTAATCTTAAAGGAATTCCGTACAGTCAGCAGATGATGTGAAAAAACTGTTTCACCGACTGCGTTTGAGCAACTGCCGAGGATCACTATACCTGTGTCCACCGCAGGAAATTGACTCTAAACGGCTTACGTTAGTTCTTACTCGTCTATCTCTCAACGGGCGGACACTGGAGACACGGAGTATCATGCTTCGATAGAACCGGTGTATTTATTTCATCCAACGACCCAAGGGAAGCATTCTTTACCGTGAAGGTAACGTTTAAAACGACCTTTAGAAAAATGATCCGTTATCTTCACAGATTTTCTTTTATTATTTTCACGGGCATTAAGCTTTATTCTTTCCAGTTACTTATCCGCAATACTTATGAATACTGATCAGTAATCTATACGGATTTGAGCAACAAATTATGCGGTTATTGCTTCAATGTTATAGATTAATTTTGTAAAGCAGACCGTCGTGGGTTTGCATGTACGTTAATTGAGTAAGAAGGAATCGACTTACCGGTTACGTTGAGGCCAGCAAACGATTGGAATTCTGTGATCGCCCTGACCATCGTCTCCTCGGAGATGATGCCGCCGCTCGTAGGATTCGCCGGTGGCAAGTACCCGAATTGCGACAAGTATCTCTGTAACAGGTGGAGGCATTTCGCATTTTATTCCTTGCGGTATACAGTAGACTCCCGTATAACGCGGTTAATACGTTATTACGCGTTATAGGGAGTCGTGTCGTACGGGAAGTTTTCTCGTATAACGCGCATGAGGCTAGATTAGAGGTTGCATCGGTCATGGGACGACAGACTTTTAACATGCATAGTAACACCATGGGCACTCTTACGTACCTACAAGTGTGCGGACGAGAATGATCCGGGTTGCTTCGGTATTTCATGAAATTTACGTTGACGGAAGTCGCCCGCGGATTAAAAGAGAGGGCGGACACGGGGGGTCACACGTCCGAGGTAAAACAAATGCTTTTTCATCGAATTAAATGCCCGAACAGAAAATGAATGTTTTCTCAATCATCGTCGTTTCCAATGACGCGCCCGCTTGTCCTCTCCCTAATGTCTCATTTCCATACACGCGGAAAACACGCGGAATCGACGCGGAGGACGGAGCGCGGGACGCGGAATAAGCTGTCTCCAAGACATTCCGCGCCGATTCCGCAAACTTTCCGCGCGTATGGAAATAAGTCCTACGTCAAGTTGCAATCCCGGTTACGTTTTGTCATCTTCTGTCGTGGTGTTGAGTTTTTATTATCTTGGGAGCATTTTTCAAGTAATATTTGCAATAGAAGCGTTTGACAAGCAATGCAGGTAACAAAGTTCAAAATAATCGAGCTCCATAAAGCACATACGGGATACCAAAAATATTTTGGGGGTGTGGACGATATGGATTTCAAAAAAGGTGATATAGATGTTGTACAGCGGCATATAAAACTCAGGGAAATGTTAAAAAGTCGACGTAATTAACAAAATCGTATCTATGTGTAGAACAAAACACCTGTTCGTTTTGAATGAGCAGAATTTGAAATGCCTTACTTGCGCTATGTTTTTTTCGCGGTGATAATCCATCACCAAACATCTAATTGAATACAACACAGTACTCTTTGAATAAAGGCGTACCGTCCGAATAAGAAGCCGTCACGGCTTTTCATTGTAAAAGCTCCATTCCTAAGGTAAATCGTGCTAACAGAGGAAATAAACCTTATTTTCTTCGAGTCTCCGTTATATCAAAACCATTTTATGTGAAACGGAAGAGTGTGAAAAACTATTCCATAGAATATGATCCAGGCATTTATCGACGCGCAACGATGGATCATAAATTTCCTTTTCGTTTAAAGTAACACGAGGTCACGTTGTACACAATGATACACGCAGTTGTATTTAACCGTGCGAAAGGCGCTTTTGTACATAAACAATGTTCTCTTTTTCATTCAAGGTCGATGACTCATTTTCGACTGTTAAAGGAAAAATCGAAAAGATCTCTTCTCGGTATCTCGTAAGTAAGGAAAGATGGGCGCCAACCTCGACTGCGCAAAATACTCCGTTGCCCGGACTCTATCGTATGTAGGTTTGCTCATTTACGGTGCCTCGAAGGTAATACAAGACGAAGATAGGAACCTTCCCTTATCGACGAGTCAATTTGAAGAAGGTAGCGCTCGACGTTCCGCCGTGTCCTTGCTTCTAGATAAAAACCCATTAAAAACATTCAGGTATATCCAGTTATCCATATCTATACTTAGAATGTTCAACCAATTTCGCTCGAAAAAAGGCGTCACTTGTACATACATTGCACGCTTTCGTATGCTGAAGGATCATGATATGAAAGGGTCAAAATATTGATAAAACGTTTCTACAAACTGAGTGCACCGAATCATTTAAAACGTCAGCACGTGATTACGAAGGCCCTAAGGAAGAACGCGATGCTCATGAAATTTCATTTTTCCAACCAAAAATGGTTTCTTGGCTCTAGTCTGGGATAAAGAAAAACCTTTTTAGCAAAAATAATTTCATTTCATGCGCATTACGTTCTTCCTTAAGGTCTCCATAATCACATGCTGAAGTTTCCAACGATTTGGTACACCCAGTTTGGAGAAAAGTTCCATAAACGAGATCCCTCAGACGCCACTTTCGTGTCACCTTAACGAACGAAACTTTATAAACTATTTTTTTTCTATTTTTTTGTGAATCAATACCTCCCTTCGAGCCTCTGCATTCATATGGTGAGAGCTCCAACGATTTGGTACACCNCATATATATACGAAGGCCGTAAGGAAGGTCCTGGCACCCATGAAATTTCATGAGTGCCAGGACCTCTCTTAGGGTCTCTATATTCGCGTGATAAAATTTCAAACGATTCGGTACACTCAGTTCGCTGATTCCCCCCCTCTTCGTATCGCCTTCATGATTTCGGTTATGAGAACAGTCGCAATGTGTGTGTATATATTGGTTAATACCGCAGGTACTCCATATCGCTGAAAACCTCGGATTGCGGGTTTAACTCGAAAATGACCATTTATGAAGATTGGTACAGGATATTGTCATTATAACCAATTCGGAACGCTTTAATCCTAAGGCATGCACTATCTTCTCAGGAGTGACTCATCTCCCTCCTAAACTCTGCTATACTCGATGCAGAAAATTGTTGTAGCGATGTGCAAAGATATTAACAATTACTCGAAAGGGTCGAAACAACTTCTACTTTCCTTTTCATTCAATAATCTTACATATTGTAGGACGGCACGCATTTTACGAAAAAATACGCAATGAGCAATCGTTGAAGGTAGGTAGCTATGAAACAGTTAACTATCTCTTAATGGTTCATCATCGATCGTTGATGGCATCGTGCCGTTGAAGCATAAACTGTTGAGAGGGGTGAAATGAGTCGTTATCCTAAATATCCATTCAAGAATAATGAATACATTTTTCTTGTCTACGTGTTACTTTTCGGTCTGTTTACTTGTAAATAAAATTCTTGAAATCAGTAGGAAAAGGTTACCTAAATTGGACCATTAATTTAAAAATATGTATTTCATATTTAAGATATAGATTTTCGTCAAATTCACTATGAAACGTTGTGACATACTTCTATCTACAGATATAAAATACAGCATACCGTGAAATTTAATTAAAGTTATTAAAAAAAATTGAAAAAATACAAACATTGACTGGAGCCCATTTTGAGAAACCGGTCATCGGAATTGGACCTGCAGACTCCGAAATTAGACGATCCGTTATCGCAAACGTAGCATTTTGTTTTCTTAAAAATATTTGTGCTTATGCTTCGTGAATCTACGAATAAATTTTCCAAGATAAACTTTTCATTGGGATGTGCAAGAAGAGAATATTGAATAACTGTAAAACGTATATGTAAATCCATTCTAATGACATGGACCTAAGCAACCTCAAGATGAAGAAGCGATTGATCGATAATCGCCTGCAAAATTTTGCGACACCATTCGTTGGTATTCCGGTGAATGGTTGGCACGTACCGAATATCCATGAGGAAGGGTGAAAAACCGCACGCACGCCCGCGACAGAGATATTTCATATAGGGTTTCGTTTCAACGAGAAGGGCGGTCGACCTGGCAAGTGGTCATTTTTCGTTTAAATGCACATTAAAGGGACACTTCCGTAGCATGTTCCTATTTAGAGTGACGCCTTTGAGAAAATAACATTGGAAACTTAGTTAAGTACGCTTGCATACTTTTCCAGCCATAATCGCGATAGGTTTTATCACCGACTACTGCTTTCGAGTCAACGGGAATACCATTGAAACATTTATATTGTAAGCGATGCGGAATGGGACCGATTGGGGGAGCGCCTCCTTGGATGTCGCGATCGCCCCCGACCACCGAAGACATTCGAACTTTTTTCTAGGCCCGCTAACGCCCAACCCAACAAACGAACGAGTTCGGTTCGGTCGCAGCCACCACCGAAGCCGGACGTTTAATGTTTCTCTTCCCCTTAGCTCTGTCCCCTACAATGTGAATAATTTACGTTGACTCCTATTATCGCTTTCATTGCGACGAAGCTGAGAACGATCGCATTTCCGGAAGAATAATATTTTAATCCGACGGTACTAGAATAAACGGAACTGAAATTGGCAACATTGGCGCCGCTGCTAACAACTCGATCGCATCAAGATTTTTTCTTTCACCCATGCACGAACCGAAACGACGCTTTCCTTAGGCCGGGACAAACCGAGTGGGCATTACTCTACACGGCTGGACGATCCTTGGCGAACTTTTCAAGAGAGAGGGAGAGAAAAATTGCGTAGTTATTGTCAAGTTGCCCGAAAGACGTAGTCACTTGTAACCCAGTCCTGTGTTACCCAACCATCGGCGCACGATGTTTATTCGATTCGTGCCGACTTTTATATCGGTTTCCGTTTCGTTGTTCCGCGAATCGATACACCGAAGACCTGTCTCTTACGATACACCGAGTCGGCGGATAACGTTATCGCGTGTACGTTGGCAATGAATCGGTAATACTTTTCCTTCGATGAGCTGGGACAAATTTCCTACTCATCGGCGATTGATCATCTTCGGAGACTTTTCCAGAAGATGGGTTTCCACGAACGAGTTTGACGCGTTCGGTAGACCGAGAGGACTGTCCCACGTGATCTTGATCACGCATGAATGGAAGCTAGTCATCGCGGGGGGTAGAGCTTCCCTTCCGGTTCGAGACCGACGAGATTACTGAAACACTGAATCATCGACGCCTTCTACGAACTCGGTTCTTCCCAAATCCACTCGTTTCGTCCGCTTGTCCACTCTTCGCCTAGCTGGAACCGCACGTAAGAGTATTCACACGTGTTGTATAGTTGCGAGATAATAGACCCGTTGTGATATGAAAGGGTTATTCTATACATATAAAACGTCAAAATATTTATCAAACTTTTCTCCAACTTAGCTGCACCGAATGATTTGAAACTTCGGCATTCGGATTATGGAGGTCCTAAAGGAGAAAAAATATATCTTCTTGGTTCTAGTTTTGTCTGAATCAACAAATTTTTAATCGAAAAGGACATTTCACGAACACCGCATTTTTCCTTAGAGCCCCCTCCATAATCACATACCGAAGTTCCATCGATTCGATGCATCCAGTTTGGAGAAAAGTTTTATAAA